TGATGCCAGACTACTTAGAAACGACAACGAAAGATTCTTTTGCTGACTGTCATCACAAGTCTCTTGTGTGTTGCCTCAAACAGTGGGACTCTTCCTTGCAGTCGCCTTTATCTTAATCCTTTCTTAAATAGTGCTGAAGCTAGCCACCATGCTAACCACTGCCAAGCCTGAAGGTCGCACGCCTTTGATCTCGCAGTCTAGTCCAGCGCTTTATTATCTTTTAACTTTGTTTTCAACTCCAGTTAGGGTCTGAGCCAGTGGAAGAGTGGGAGCTGTCAGTGATACTCAGTGCAGATATAATGCTATTTAAATGCTAATGTGTTAAGAGGAGCAAAACGACCTTTATTCACAAAACAGAAGCCCTTAATAAATGAGCCTCTTCCTCTGACTCTGCCTTCCCTTCCCTCCACACCTCGTGTCAGATATAAGGTGTGTTTATCACCGTCGAGCCCAGAAGGCTTTGACAACATTATAGAGCTGGATATTGGTTCAGGTGTTCAAGTCAGACGTGACTGGATGATTGCAGGATGTGCAGAGTGTTGATTTGAATGTGATTGGTTTATTTGCTTCTTGGGAAATGTGTGCTTATCATGGGGAGGACCTTTTGTCATTGCAGTGGAAAAGTCTGTGTGTCGAGTGAATTAGTTTAGCCTTTAGCGTAAAGAAGACAGCATTACTTACCCCTGCCTTTTATTTCTTAAAATGAAAGATATTTTTTATTAATCTTCATCTGCATAATTATTATTATCATCGGCCTTCAACATTTAAAGGCATGATCGCCTTACATTCAAAGAAAATCTTGATTTACTGCCATATGTTGTGCTGATATTGAATTGTCGTCCAGTTTCTAAATTCCCCCTCCATACTAGCGGTCCATCTAAGCAGTTGGCACCCTTGCCAGGAAACTGATAATGTGATGGCAGGTGCTGGTATCAGTGTAAAAACAACAAGCCCTCTCCCTGTCAAAGATACTTGTCTCCCTGTTTGCAGAGCACTTGCCAGAAGGATGCACACTCGCCGATAGAGCCGCTTTCCCTCAATCCGCCCTGTGTTAATATTAAATAACCTTCAAAATGTTTTGTAGGACTTACTCTTCGAATCGTGCGTCGACTTTCTTCTTTCCTTTAGCGAAACTTAAATTCTGTATCAGCAGAGGACGAGGTGAAAAAGGAAAAAGAGAGATGTAGGGCGGATGAGTCTTGTCATCTGTCGTATAATCCCAGGAAATGCCCTAACTCTGCCGGTAGATAATTTATTCAGTGCAGCTCCCTGAGATACCTCAAGGAATAGTCAGCCGTCAGAGAAAGGCCTTGGAGTAAGACAGTGACATAACTTCACACAGAAATGTAGCGTCACATCAATCAATAATGCAACATCATCCTTCTGCTGCAATTACTAGCAAGCAGTGAACTGGACTGACTCCGGGTAAGCAAGTTCACCTGACTGAGCCTGTTGATTTGTACTCTATAGTAATGTATTTGACAAAAACAGCTCCTCCTGAGGGAAAATGTCTTATCCTTTTTTCCCTCATGCATGCTTTGAGTAGTCTGGATTAATTTTACATCAGACTGCCAAGTAGGCATCCTAATATAAGACTGGTAAACAAGGAGAATTTGTTTTCATCTCGACAGATGGAGGACGACAGCAACAGAAGAGCAAGGCTGCACCTCAGGGGTTGAGATCTTAGACCTCATTAAAAAATAAGTTTGAATTGAATAAATTTTATCCAGTTTGAAAGATGAAAAGGAACATCCACCCTTAGTCACAGTTCACTCACAGCACAGTAAGTCATTCTGATGATCTCGGAGGGTTTTTTTGATTTGCGAGACTTTCTCAGAGCTATTCAATCAAGAGGAAAATCCTCAATATACCTAGTGACACACATCATCTGACTACAGTGACAGGACCTAGAGGAGTATCACAGAGAACACTGTCTGGTTTGTAACTTGTATGTTAGAGTGACACTTACACAGTTGTATTTGAATGTAGAAGCATCCAATAAATATTTTTGAGATGTCAAAAAATATTAAAGATTTAAGTAGGGAGGAGGTACAATATAGAGTGTGACACAATATACATTTATATTGGTTGTATGTGGCTCTTGTGAGTAATGCAACTATGGCAATATTGCATGATTTGGTATTAATGCGATTTTACAAAGAAATTGTGGCCAAACTCTTGAAGGTCAAGTGTGTCACATTTAGGGGGCTCTATTCGCAGAAAATAATTATAATATTTATAGGTATGTTTTCATTAGTGTATAATCACCTGAATATAGGAATTGTGTTTTTGCCTAGAACACAACACTGTTGGGGAGTACTGCGTATCTGAAAAAAGTATAGGCTTTTGTGGCTCCAGAGGGAGTTGCATTAAGTCTGATAAATTGGTTCACGTGATGTCACTTGGGAGATTGAATTGTATTGTGGGTAATATAGGCGCCAGGTTTTGACAAAATGAAGACTGCATGGAATAAGAAATATCTAGAAGAGGATTCTGCTGCATTGATTTTCGGCCCTTTTTTAAAAACTGTCCGTGTGTACGGTGCTTTTCATTATGCTAACGTGTCTCATCGTTTCCCGCACTGGCTTCCTTTCCTCATTTATTAGCTCCTCCCAGCAAAGAGGTAAGAGAGATGCGAGGAAGAGACGTGAAGACAGAGGAGCTAAAACTGCCAAATGAGAAATCCTTGCATCCACAGCATCAGTCTTAAGCGACGTCAGTGACTTTTGGCGTACTTCACAGCTGTATCACCTGTCAAACTGGTGCAAACGCCCACAGAACCCCTAAGAATTTCAAAACAAACGTATTCATTTAAAAATGTAAATTGTTTAACATTGCCCATTTCAGCAGTGTCATAGTAAAAGCTGTGAGAATGAACTGTGTGAATTAAGAATGATTGAATTTAGTTTTTTAATATTATCAATTAGGTTTTCAATCATGCCAAACATACAAATAGCACTCATGTTCCACATGTGGAGGTGCAATATTTTTAGATCACTTGATAAGTGACTTCCGCGTAGGATACACCAGTGTTTCCTTGCTCTCAGCTCCTTCAGAAGCCTCCGCTCTCCTCTCTCCTCGTCTCCTCCAGGCATGCATTTAAGGAATTGGAAAATCTTTCTTAATGTCTGAGGGGGAACGATTAACGGGTCACAGCATGAGAGAAGACGCGAGGAAGCATAAGTTAGCGTAATGAAAAGCACCCACAGTGTGCTATCATACACTGTTGTGAGTAAATACTTTACAACACAAAGCAAAACAGATTGAAGAAGATGTTCAGAGCAAAGAGAGTTTCTAGAAAAGACTAATGTTTTGTCCTCACTGGCAAAGATATGGACAAATGGTTTCCCTTGGTAATGAGAACAAAAATCAGACAGGAAGCAGTTGCGTTAAGGGGCATCATGGGCTTAATTTTGAGGAACAGCAGCACTAAGAATACCTCTTGTATGAAAAAGACAATAACATTTAGTCAGAACTCCAACCTAGCAGTAAGAATCACTTGTGCAGCCACAAGCTTGTGGCATTCTGCTGGCATTTCACTCATCAATACTTCTAATTTTGTTCATTGGAGCACCTGAATAAGCGTAATCAGTGACCAGGGTCCTCAGAGTCCTTTTTGTTTATTTATGTTTATGTCAAGTTATTAGATTTCAGTTTATGATAATGTTTTAAGAATGTATTGATTTGTGAATGCGTTGGTGTCCTTAAAAATTGCTATTATTTGGCCTAAAACTCCCCTCCCCCTCTGTCTCGTACCACAATAGCTCATAAAAACTCTCCTTCATTTTATGGGGTTACAGTGGGAGTGAAAGTGCATGGGTTTATGAGGCGTGTCATTGGGAGGCAAGCAATATGGTTATTCTTTGTTTGTTTGTTTGTTTGTTTCCTATTTCACAAGACAGTGTGCAGATAAGTTTGAAATATTACCTTTTCTATTACAATATTCAGCCTTTCAGGAGATGAGGACAATCAAAAAATAGAGGGGATTCAAAAGGGATGGTTATTTTACTAAATAAAGATAACAAGAAGCTCTTACGATTAAGACGATTCTACATTATTATATAAATCATTTTTCATATAACCTAACTTAATTAGTTAGTTGAAACTTCATAAACTAAAGAAAAGTATTGATATGAAGGCCTTTAGATTGTTTTGGGGATCTATTCTATACTGTCATTGTTTCCAAGATAAAGTCACATTAGGGCAGAGGATCAAATTTATTTTTTAGGCTCTCATTCATAACATATAGCATGCTTACTGTCCCATGTAGATTTTTAACCCCCATCGTCCTAACGTGATTCAGAGGAAAGACATCATAATTACATTGACCGCAGATGGTGGTGAGGCATATAGATAAAGTAAACGTATCCTCTGATTAAGTTAAAAGCATTGGAATAGAGTGGTGGGACGTCTGCCCTTGGTGACCGATCACACAGAATTGGGTTTTAATCTAAGACTACATGGCCAACAGAAAGAAAAGGGGGGAGGGTGCATTTGGTTATCGTCTCTCAAGGACGCCTATCTGGCCGCACGCCTCACAGCGTTCTCCTCAGGACTTTGACGGATGACACCAGCACCACCGAGTGATAGGCTATTATTTCACTTTGCATTGGATAAATGGGGGTGCGGGCTGCTACCTGTCGCCTGCCTTTCTCTTTCTTTCGTTTTCTCTTTTTTCCCTGCCTCTATTAGTAGTATGCCATTGCAGACCTAAATAGAAGGAGATAAATAGGATGGCTGAGATTTTGTCTGTGCAATTTGTTGATTTCACTTTCACATTGCAAATGTTCTACTTTTTGAGTTTTTTGTATTCTTTGTAGTTAGAGTGGATGCGGAGAGCGAGAGTATGGTTGATAATGACCAACCTGTTTGAGGACATATTATTTGGTACTAGGCTTTTTTCTCCCTCATCAAGTGTAAAATGCATTTCTTTTTCTGGGAAAATGCTTTTTTACTTGATATGATCTAATTTCCTCACTCTCTCTCTTTCAGACCAGCAGTATTCATGGTCGCCCTCGCAGTACTTCGATGAGGACAGCTACTCCCCTCCACCCAGGAACATGAAGGGTCTCTCTGGCGGCCGCCCTGCCCAGCTCCAGCTCACCTCTCCCACCTCAGCCCACACCTGCGGCCTGGCTGACTGCGACCATTCCCTGGACCATCACCTCCACCATGGCAACTCACGGCCCCCCTCCTACCTCCTCAGCCCCACTGAGAGCTGCCCCCTTGAGAGTCACCATCGCTGCTCCCCTCGGAGCTCCATCCACTCTGAGTGCATGGTGATGCCAGTGTCCATGTCAACCACCGACCACTCCATCTCTAGTAGCACTTTCCCCCGCATGCACTATGGCAGCGCTTCGCGGGACAGCGGTGGCAACACTTCTGGCGGCAGGGAATCTCGAGACGACGGTGGATCATCCTCACATGGTGGCAGCGGCAAAATGAACCGAATCCCAGCAAACCTCCTGGACCAATTTGAGAAGCAGATGCCGTTACACCGGGATGGCTTCCACACGCTGCAGTACCAACGCACCTCCACCACAACCACAACCACAGAGCAGCGCAATGAAAGCCCTGGGCGAATACGTCACTTAGTCCACTCGGTACAGAAGCTCTTCACAAAGTCACACTCTCTAGAAGGGTCCTCCAAGATGAACGGTACCAAAAGCGACTCCCACCGGGACAACTCACACCACCACCATCACCACCACCAAGGCCACCACAAACACAGCAAACGCAGCAAAAGCAAAGAACGTAAATCTGAAGGCAGTGGCAAGCAGCGCTCGGGAGGTTGGTGGAGTTCTGATGACAACCTGGATAGCGACAGCACGTACAGAACACCCAGCGTCATGTCACGGCATCCGGTGGACCACATCAGCCACTGCTACCCTGACTCAATGCATGGCCACCTGTCTGGAGACCTGTCGCTAAAGACCTCCAAAAGTAACAACGATGTCAAGTGCTCAGCCTGTGAGAGCATAAGCATGGCACCAGAGGGAAAGTTCATGAAGAGGAGTTCCTGGTCAACGCTAACAGTCAGCCAAGCCAAGGAGGCCTACAGGAAGTCCTCACTCAACCTGGAGAAGCCCATGACGCCCACCGATCTCAAGCCCAACATCAGGCCCTGTCACTATCTACAGGTAAGTTTTGCTTAATTTGCTATGTGTCAGTAGGGTTGTGTCTCTCAACAGCACTACCCATACGTACAAATGTTTTCCAGTGAACCACTACAGCTGCTAATGTCACCGAGCATAACCTGCATGTACATTACTTTTGATGCCACTTGATTGGAGAAATCATGGACTGATGAACTTGATGGGTATTTGAAAGGTTTTGGTGAAAGGAGAAGATGGTGATTTGGATGAAGGCATATAGTGACAAGCAATTGAAGAGATGATAAATACATTCATTTTACCTCTCAGTGGCTACTGTGGTTGAGCGCCCATTCACCGTAATGTAACATTCATAAGAACTTGAGGCACTGCAGCACCGAGAAAAACATCCGTCCCAAAACTTAGACCTGTATTGTAAATTTTTCTAAAGGCATCGCCAGTGAATAGACAAGGAAGAAAAGTTGCCCATCTCAGCTGGATTTCTGATTGATCAAACTGTCGCTGCCCTGGATATGTGAACATGTCCTATGGCTCACCATGTGGCCAGGAGCAGAAGGGAGTAGCACAGCAGGACAAATCCATTAACTTCATAAGTGATCTGCGCTAGACGGGAAGAGTTGGCCATCTGAGAATAAAAGACAAGAGATCAATGTTGATTTTTACCGTGTTGTTTGCTTCGATTTCGCATAGACCTGAAAAGGGTTAGCATTTAGCTCAGGCCCATCGCCTGGATCGATTCAGAGTGAGTCAGCACTTTCCACAGAAGTGATTCCTTGATTTTATATGCATGCTGAAGGGTATACGAAAGAGAAAAATGAAAAGAACGCATGCTTATAAATCCCAAATCGCAAAAGCAGGGAAAAATAGATTCTGTAACAACGCTGCTCAATATACAACAATGTGATATCTGATAGCATCATGTAAGTATCGCCTGCAGCCAAAGTAAAGTGAGCACTTCAGCACATTGGGAGAGAAGACTCGGAGAGTCAGTCCTCTAAGCAGAGAGTGTGTTCTATGGATTAGAGACTGTTGTAAACGGAAAGCCAATACATTACTCAAATCAGCCAATGGAGCCAAAGAAACCACTCAATCTAAGCTTACGTCAACAGAAAATGTTTTAGAGGACTAATTTTGACTAGCGTATTTTTAAACATAACTGATGATCATTTTGAACTGGACAGACACTGCACTCATCCACTCAAATTTTTAACAATCCCACTAAGTGCAGTAATCTCTCAATGAGAGAGTCGCAGTGTTTAGTGCCACCCCCACCCACCCACCTCTTCCTTACTTCCATTTGGTCATTCAGCTGAGGTAGTGTCCGAGTCGTGGCACTATAAACACTTCTAAAAATATCCTCTTCTCTTCCTTCCTGCCGCAGGGCTATATTTAGCCCAGCATTATCAATCCAATTCGTGCAGGGTGACACATCTTCCCTCCCCTGAGGAGAATCAATGCCCTCTCAGAGAGCTGGATGATGCTTCGAAGGAGAGAAGGAGAGAAAGCTGAAGATACATACCACTGAGGTCTGCGCCTCTGTGGATGCATTGAGATACTCCAGGAAGCAGAGGGGAGGAAAGAGCAAAAGAGATGACTGTTTTTGCTCCCCATTGCTACTGTTGTTGCTCATCACCAGGAGCAGTCAGGCAAAGAGATAGAGCCAATAGTCAGGAATGATACTTTGCACACACCAAGGGGTCACATTGAGAAGTTTTCACTTCCTGCTGTTGCTGAATCGGGATCTCCCACAACAGTCTGCACTGTAACAACATAAACTGTATCCTGGGAAAGTGTGTGCACCGAATGTTCATGTGTGAGTGAGAGCGTGTGCGTAAGGGGTGTTTTTTCTGGTTATCACACACCAGACGGTTTGATGATGTGTGCTAGTCACCTTGTTTGCGTCCTCGGTTGATGACAGAGGGAATGAAAAACTTCTGAAGTGTTGTAAAAGGGATGAGATGGCAAACCGAAAGATTATGCAGTACTTATCTTGACTGAAGCATCTGTATGTTAGTCTGAGT